AAGTGTAAACAGTAAAATCACTCTGCTCACAGGTGTCATAAATATAAATACAACCGTTAATTAACCAACTGTCACACTCGCTACATTGACGCAAACTGACACTATAGCGTTACACCAAGAAGATGGATATTTTCCCCAAAATTACATTTGAATTAAATTATGAGTGGTCGTCAGGAGAGGATGAGGAAAAGGGAAGCCAGGACTCTTCAGTGCAGACCTCCAGGTGTGTTTGAATCCGGCCGTGCCAACATCCAGGTTTGCCAACGTTTCATCAGCCGAACTGGACGAAGTTACACAGTTGCAGATCAATGAAAATACAAAGTAGCGAGTGAGTTCCAGGCGTGTGTGCTGCGTTGCCTGGCAACAGACTGGGGGAACTGTGTTTTTTTTTTTCGCGGAGCTACATAACATACTTAAATAATTTATTTCATCACCTTTTGTTAACATTTCCTTACTCAGCATTGCTGTTTAAGATGTTGTTGACCTGTTGTATAAAAGCAATATCACACTCAAGGTTGTGACATTATACAGTACAACTCTCGTGAGATATTGCTTAAATATATATGTATATATATATATATGTAAGGGATAATGTATAGTGAGCCGGTGACTGTTGAAAAATAACTCCCGACAGGGGAAGAGGGTGGGAGTGGATGAACCCGGTTAAAGAGTACCCAACCGGACAGGACGCTCTAATACAGGAGGCAGGGATCATTTCATTGGTCAACAGTAAATCTGGCATGCTATTGGTTGGGGGATTTTGACAGGGTTGTTACACAAATAAATCCAAGCGCAGGGCAGAAATCTGATAGCAGAAATTCCACGAGTGCACAGAAACAGTTTGAGCGCAAGGAGAAAAGCCGAAGCTCGAGCAGGAAATCTGTGCGAGCAACATGGTATCTGAGTGTGAGCAACATTGTATCTGAGTGCGAGCACACAGTCTGAGCAGAAACAGATTAGATCCAAGCGCAAGCAGAGGCTATTTGAGTGCGAGGGCAGGGTTTTTGAGCGTGAAATCAATAAATAATGCTCTCAAACTGATAGACCGCTCTCTTGAATAAAGATAGGGATAAAGCTCCATACTTTCTGTGTAAACAAAGGGATCTTACTCTTTAACAAAAAGGTCTCTGTAGGGATCCTGTCCATAATGTTGTCACTTACAATAAAAATCTGAGTAACAATCTTATGTTTCACAATCCTCAGTCTTCGAGCTCATTTAGTTTTACTGACATACACCAAACTGCAGGGACATTTCAGTATATAAATAACATTAGTGTTACTGCACTAAATATACCACAGGATTTGGAATCATTTCCTTGTGCATGGATGCACAGCACCCACACTGATAAAAGACAGTAGGGGGAGATGGTATTGAGGTGGACAGCAGTTGTTTGGTAAGATATAAGCAGACAAGATGGTCTTCTAAGCTGTATGCTTGTCTGAATTACATCAATAGGGGTTTGGAAAAGAAGGATCGCTTTTAGGATGTGCCAGTGTATAAGTATTGTTTGTGAACAGCTGGAATCAAACTCTTGAGGATGTTTGGCATTTGGCCTTTTTGTCCTCTAGGGAATGTCTATCTGTGCACACTGCTCTCTTATAGGCTCAATCTTTATCTGTATCGGAAGATCCCCTGGCCTTGAGGCGTTCTATAGTTCGGTAGCTTTTGACCAGAGATATAACATATCCTGAGAAATTTCCCTGTAAAGATGTTTTCTTGAGTGATTTACTGTTGACTCTGAGGAGTGTGTTTGTGCTGATTGCTATAACCACAGACGCTGCTCAGAAGTGTTGGGTGGATAAAATGCTGTTTTTCTGGAAATTGTTTCAGCACTTAACTCCCCCACTTTCAATTTCAACAACTTCAACAACTGCATTTCTCCAAAACGACCGTAACAACCATTAGGCAACGGCCTCTGTAGGAATGAAAATGTGTGTGTGTGTGTGTGTGTTGCACACCTGGCCTGTAGGCAGTCTTAACAGCATCTCCTCCAATTTCTCGAGCCCCTGGTTTCCATGGTGACACACTCTTACGCTCCCCTTGGGTGCATGTGTAGGCTTCTTGACACCAGGATCTGTCAGATGGCAATCCATCACACTGTCCTACACACACACACACACGCTTCGCATCACATTTCCTGGCACACGTGGCTGCTGCCATGTTTAAGGACACTGAGAGGAAAAATTAGCAGATCTGTTGGCTGTGAATAATAATATAACTGGGTCAAAGAAAAAAAATATATGTCAGAGTCCAAAGCCAGTCACACATGCTCTTAGATATGAATTTACTTTTTCAAAAATTGACAGACACAATTCTTTTATGACAACAGGCTATATGCCACATTAAGGAATCTGCACCTTTTTTTTAATTGAAATATTTATAAAAATCGTGAATCCCAATGTTGGAGATCACCTCTGTGTTGAATTGTGTTGCTGTTTTCCTGTATTCATGTTTCTAACTCACCATCCAGGTCCAGAAGACTTTTTCCACCTGTTTCCAGCTCAGATAAGCTTCTAGAAGGTCACACAGCTGCCGCATACAAACACAGTCCTATAACACACATACACATTTCACATTATAGCCTTGAAGACAACCCAAGGCATATTGTATTGACACAGCATAGATGTACTCTTAGATGGTACATTAACACTGCATTTTATAAGATAAAGACATTACTCAAACAATAATAGAGACTTGCAACAACAGAGCAACTATAACTTATTTGCAAGAAAAATTCTCTGGTGCTTAGTGCTCAGTTCTGATCTATTGGATGTATCCGTTTTTATGGCTCTGCACTGGCAACAGCAGTGGCTGGAGGCATTTACAATTACCTCTGTCACATCCTTGTGAACATGATATCTCTAGGGAATTTCTTTATATTTGGCACAAACGTCCACTCAGACTGAAAAATAAACTGATTAGAATTTTGTCAACGGTCACTGGTTAAAGCAACACAATGGAGGATTGTGCTTTTTACCTCACGGGGTTACCCTACAGATGAAAAACGGTATTGTCTGTTACAACTGTCACAAGAATACTTCTGCACCTGCATTTGTTGACAAGCCAACAATACCGGTGAACTTCCTGAAGCTGGCCGTGTAATGCGCGATCATCATGTCTTCGGAACAGGTAAAGTAGGCTTGTACACACATGATTAGGCCGATTGCTTTATTTATTTATTCATTTTCGAAACTCAGAAATGAGTTGCTCTCTGCATGTCAGGGCTGATTTCCTCCTTACAGTGCACATGAGTGCGCACGCGCACACACACACACACACACACACACACACACACACACACACACACACACACACACAAACTCAACAGAGTGAAGTCAGACAACAGCAGAGAGGCCGCGGTTGAGATGGAGGGAATATAACTTCAAGATTACTCTAGTTGACAACAACAACACTTGTTACTGTGAGCAAGTGCGATAAAACCTCTGCCAGCCAAGCCAATACTTTATCAATACATGTGATCAGCATGTAGAAAGCCATATTTCAATCTGCTCTGTCCACAGTCTCTCATTCACCGCTATTATGATTTATGATCGCGGTTGACACAAGGGATATGACATATGTCGTAAAGCAGCCAAATTTTGTAGTCCTTTTTGTGTGTGAGTTGATGTACCATCACAAGGATCTTGGATATATATTTTGAGGGCTCAAAAAACTCCACTGTGTTGCTTTAAGGTCAGAATTTTTATGCTAATTATGACAACACTTCACGCAAATGTCTAATAGAATAAAATAATGAAGTGGTGACATTTAATAACCCATAGGTCAAAGGTCAAGTTCACTGTGACTTCATAATATTCTGCATAAAACACTTTTCTGGCCATTATTCAACATCATATCTCAAGAATAGAAAGGGGATACATTTGGTCAGATACTTAATTGGTGACACTAATCTTGGATACCTTGAAACTTTGCTGATTGTATAGTCCTTCTGTGCTGCCATGGGGGAAGATGTGTGTGAAGCATCCGTTTTCACAGGCATGGGTGTAAACGAAATATGACTGGTGCACAGAGGCATACAACCACGATGCGATAATTCTAGTTTTTACTTGGTTTTTAACATTACTTTTTATAAATGTGGCCAACATCAGATTCCAGTGTGAACTGGTCATGGTCCTGAACTAACCTGCAAATGTAAAAGAACAATAACAAAGACTTCATGTGCAGCATGCTGTTGCATACAAGTGGAGGCTGCTGAAGTCAGCGTTCATGGTTTCATTTATTAGCTGATGTGCAGTGGAAGCCAGTGAATTTGCGAGAAGATGATAACAAGGATGAGGACGGGGGAATGGCTATTTGTGGAGCAACTGCTGATACTCCTGTGCGAGGTGTGTGTGGATGTGGAGTAAGAGCCCAATGGTAAGTGGTGAGTTTTGGGATTGTGATATGACTGGCTTCAAGCTAAAACAGGCAGGTGATCCAATCACAACTGCTTCATCAGTTTGAGTCATAAGCTTCTTAAAACTTGGCTTTAAGGCTCCTAATTTTTCTGTGAAATTGCAGCCATGTTCTTCTGTTGCCCTGTTCAGCCATACGTTTCCATATCATTTCAAACACAGACAGGTTAGGATACTACTTAAGTTTTGCTTGTACAGAAGTGTCACCCCAAATACTTGTGAGGTTTAACACATCACTATCCCTCCACTGACTACCTCCATCACAGCTGTCTTCCATGTGTGTACTCAGTGAGTGACTCCCGCCAGCACAGAATTGTGACAAATGTCAATCTAGAGTGATGCAAAAGTTGTTTTGTTATATACACTAATTCTGGCTCTAACTATAGGCAGATCATGTTTATAACTCATTTTAATAACAGCACAAACACTCTTACCTTCCTTAGCACTGTGGAGCTTTGACCAGAGGAGGGGGAAGATACAGAGGAGGGAAGGCTGGCAGAGAAAACCTGAGAACATTTTTTTTGGAGACTTGAATGTAACTTATTCCAATAAATATGAAAGAAAATCTGATTTTATGCAGACAAATACTTAACAGTAATAAAAGAGATGTTTAACAGTGAGTGTGCATTAATGGGCCTTTTCTGTCTTTTTAGGGAAGAAAAGGTCTTGTTCACTTTGGCTCCAGTTTGGAGTGGAGGATTGTGTCACGTGCAGTCATCTTGCACATACGCTCCCAAACTTCTAATAATATGTTGAACTTTGAGAAATGTTTTCCACTGCAGTGACAGACAAATGCAGAATGGCAGCATGTGACAAAAGTTAGAAAAAAGGGGATTTTCTCACAGCGTGGAGTAGGCGAGTTCGCTCTTCTTGCATGGACAGCAAGGTCCGCCCCTGGTGTCTCCGACAACCAACAAGCCACTGAAGTTTCCTCAGACATGCTGGGTCTAACTGGAGCTCACTAGAAAGCTGAAGGTTCACCTAACAGACAGAAAGAGAATGAGAGATCACAGATATAAAATTATACAAATTCACATACAGAATTAGGTTTACCAGTATAATGTGATGGTGTACCAGTGGTATTTACAGGTGTAGGTGAGAGGAGTGTTTTGTCCAGTTTCTGTACTCTCTTAGACAGCAGTTTCTCCAGTTGTCCTGTAGCGAGCAGCCAGCCCAGTGCCAGAAGGAGGTCTCTGCTTAAGAATCTCCCTCCCTCCCCTCCTTCTCCTTCCTCCCTCCCATACATCCAGTCAGCATGGTAGCCAGTCTGCCAGAGGCCGGCAGCCACCAGCTTCCTGCACTCTGTGGCTGCGCAGAGACAGAGCAAACACATTCAGTCACTCAGCAAGTTCACTTAATTATTTTCTTCCCTATGTTCATCTCTTCAAGAAATGTCAGTCAGTTTGGTCCAATGATTTGTGTACAACAGCGTAGCCTTATTTTTGTTCTTGTTTAGCGCTATAAAGTGCCAACAGTAAATTTGTTTGCTGTGGTCCGAAAAGTCACAACATTAAGTAAATGCTGAGAGAAATGTTTTATGAGCCCACAGAACAGATTTTGCATATTGGACAATGTGTCATTTTGAGTGCTTTACCATATACAATTTCAAGACTTTCAATTTTTATGTATAACGATAAAGAATTGATCGTTTTTGGGAATTCACATTCGGCCAGTGGGCTGTTTTCAAATCATGGAGAACTAGAATTACCGCCCCGTGGTTGTATGCCTCTGCACACCAGTCAAGTTTCTTTTACAGTATACATCCAGAGGATCTATACAATCAGCACAGTTTCAAGGTGGGCACCCAAGATTAGTGTCACCAATTCAGTACCTGACCAAATGTCTCCCCCTCTGTCCCTGAGATATGACGTTGAATAATGGCCAAAAGAACATTATGATGTTACAGTTAAGCTGACCTTTGACCTTTAGGATATAAAATGTCATCACTTCATTTTTTTTCCTATTAGACATTTATTTTTGTCATAATTAGCATATTCATTATTGAGTTATGGCCAAAAACATATTTTGTGAGGTCACAGTGACCTTGACCTTTGACTACAAAGTTCTAATCAGTTTATTCTTCAGTCCAAGTAGCCGTTTGTATCAAATTTAAATAAATTCCCTTGAGGTGTTCTTGAAATATTGCGTTTACAAGAGTAGGACAAATGCAAGGTCTCACTGACCTTTACATATGCCCAATCAGTTCATCCTTGAGTCAGAGTCAACCTTTGTGCCAAATTTGAAGAAATGCCCTCGAGGCGTTCTTGAGATATTGTGTTCGCAAGGATGGGATGGACGTATGTAGGTACATGGATGTACAACCCAAAAACATAATGCCTCCGGCCTTGACTATGGCCAGCACGGAGGCATAAAAAAAGCATCTTAGTGGAAATCAGTAAAGTCCTGGACAAATAGCATGAAAAGCCTTACACAAATAAACAATGTTACTTACCTCCTCCTAGCTGTGTACTAGCCTCACAGGAAACAATGCCAGATACCTTAAGGATGTTGGCAAGGAGCTGCCAAAACTGATCCTCCTGGGAAACAATAGCAAGCAGAAAGATTGTCTGTATGGTATGTCAGTATGTACAGTACAGTACACTGTCTGTTAGGAAGAGCTCTGAAAGCGCAGGATAACAATGCATACTATTTAAAAAATGGAAGAGTCAGACCTTTGCTACCTCTTTATAAGATGACACACTGTTGATTTTCAGGGGTGTTGTGAATTGGGTAAAAGTGGGTCTGACTGATCCTCACCCCTTACAAATTGCACAAAATTGTTACGTCTGCCCCTGCACTAAGATTTATGTCTTAACACAGCTAGAGCAGAGCGAGCGACCTCTCATCATAATATATCAGTGTAAATATGGTATATTATGAGAGCCTTTATCAATCCTGTGTGCACAATCTGCTAACACTGTGTAAGAATATTTTAAACTAATACTGGTATGTTGGTTAGGTTGGAGGCAGTCAGATTTTGGCATAATACACTAATCAGTATTAGGGATGCTCGATATGCTGATACATAATAACTTAGGCTGATAACCAATACCGATATCGATATATTCACATTTTTCCCCACCTAATTTTAGTGATTATCAAGTCTCTTCTGTGGTGGAATATCATATCATATCATATCATATCTATGCATGCTCTTATTGTGAAGCTCACCAGCAGATGGGGACATTAAAATATAATGCTATTCAACACAGTAATACTCACTCATAGTTCATTTAGGCTCAACTTTTTGTATCTTATCCTTGACACTTGTTATTCAATTTTTTTTGTGTGTAAAATCAAGTACCTGGAAACTAAAGCTGTCAAATAGCTATCACACACACAGTGTATCACAGTGACAACAAATGATGGACGTACCACCTCGGGTCCACCGCCGAATTTAGCCCGTCTGAAGTTCTCCGGTGCGGGCACAGACTCCAGGCCGGTGGCCGCCAACAGTCTGCATAGCGTTCCGATCACCTGCTTCACTTCCACACTCACAGCCACTTTACTGCGCTGCATGACAGCCTCCCCACACTACACACATAACACCAAACGTTCTATACACTCAGCTGTCACGCTTCAGTCCTGTACACACTATTATTTAAACACATTTTCAACGACATTTCTACCGCTTCAGAGTTGAGCTGTTGATATTTCGCGGCGAAGACAACAACTTCCGGGTACGAGGCCGTTGCCAGGGAAGCGAATGGATGAAGTTGTGATTGATATCTACTCTGGCCAATCATGAATGTGATTCTGAAAGCGGTGGGTTGTACTTACTTTTCATTGGTGCGCTATCTGTTTGTCTAACTCTGACGTATTTTTACTTACAGTTTACATACTCAAAAGACTATTCTTCACTTTCAGTTTAACAGGTGCAGCAAAACAGTAAAAAAAAGAAAAAAGGAACGTCATATGACATGTAAATACAGGTTCCAGTACTATCATAACTGAGCTAACTGTAAAGCAGAAATAAATAATAATAAAGGATAAATACAAAATTAAAATAAACTAAATATAAGTGGTCATTCAGGAATTAAGGTACACACATATTCATACAGACATAGGACAGTTCCAATTTTACAGCATTTCACACATGATCTAATTTAGAAATGCCAGAAAAATTGGGATAGTTTTGAAAAAAAAAAAAAAAACATTTGTGAATTAAATATTTTGCCAAAATAACTACATTGTTAATCCCAAACCCTGGTTTGTGTCCTTAGTAGGATACTAACCTTTATATTTTCATAATTTAGAGTCATATTATTTTGATCATTTTAAGTCAACCAATATTGAAAAATGTCCCAAAATCTCCTGGTTAAATTACAAGAGAAGGATGTTCTAAATTTTCAATGTCTGAGTTACCGAAAGCACAAATATTCAAATCCAAATTATACATTTGGTGTAAGAATCCATTAAATGTGTAAATCTCATTCATTATTTGAACTTCTTTAGCCTTGGGTAAAATTGGAAAAGAGCGGTATCTGGTTGTTATTTTAACTGTCAAATTACTGCTGCATCCTTGGAACATATGTCTTTGCTTCACTGGTGATGGAAAACAAACTGAAGTGAGAACATTCCTAAAGAATTTATTATGATATTATGTATTAAGAAATTATTTTTTATCTAAAAAAACTACATCCATCTATAGCTACTGAAGGCTCTTGTGGGATAAGCGTAAAATAAATTGAGATGCCTCTAACTGAATAGATAGATAGATTCCTTTATTGTCATTGTATAGAATACAATGAAATTCAAAACCCAAGGCAGAGAACTGAGCTCATTTTAAAGTAATAAATGAAGTAACGAATCATTACTGTGTTATATTGCCTGTCAGTACAAACAAGATTGTATTTTCCCTTAAAAGTATTATACCTTAAAATGTTACCATGATTATCTAATGAATAAATAACAGACTAGATACCCCTCTCCATCCATTCTTTGTAATAAAAGGAGTTTCTCTAAATTAATATACTGCTATTATTCCAAATAGAGAGCATTTGTGGGGGGTAAAGTTATGCTTTTCTATTAATTTCCAATAATGGAGGACTTGTTGATGAAAGGCAGATAGCTTAATCAGTAAGTTAGATACATCAAAGTCACGTGTCACTAAGAAATCTTGACCACCATAGACCCTGAAGAAGGAGCAACTAGTGGGAAAAATATGCCAATCATAAAAGTATCATCTTGGTTTGAATAAAAAAAAAAAAAAACAGGTTATTCCTGTTTGTATCCATTAGTCCAACTCCTAAATTATTTATATCACATTGTCATATACTTCCAAGATTAATGTTATATCCCAAGTGACAAGGTCCAACAGATATATTTTAATAGTATTTATTTAAAATATCAAAATAATTTAAAAAAAACACAAGTACCTCAATTGTAGGTACAAACATGCCTAAAATAATTTAAAACACAAAATCATTTTTACACAGAAAATATGTGATGTCATCAAAGAGGACATACTACTGTACATGCATTAACCTTGGTATCACATCTTCAAGAACAAGAACAATGTGGAATCTATGGATCCAAAATGAACCTAAAACTGACAGTAAAATACAGTAGATTAGTTTGTGCCTTTTAAAAAGTTCAAAAAGTTTAGATATTCTATTACATGACATGAAACACAGTGTCAGACCGAGCTGTGGATGTATTCTGGTCATGTAAGTTTTCACTCTCAGCTCTGTTAACTCTTCAGTCCTGCCCAAAGGCTGCTGTGGTGTAGCTGGAGATAGAGATGGTCCCTTCATGTTCCATATTAAGGATAGGAAATACTAACCTCCTCCTTTTTTAATGCTACTACTGCTTACTACCTGAGAAGTCAGAGTATGGTGATAGACCCTGATTTCAACATATTCCTAAATGTTGATAACAACTAGGAAGAACAGTGCGCTGTCTAAGTACCATGGCAGGCTGCAACTATTTGCTGGAATTTTCATTTGTGATTGACTCTAAAATATATCAGTCCAAGCAACATTTTCTAACCATTAATTGTTTCACAATGTAATGTAAATGAAACATAATCAGGCTAATATTTAGCGCTACTTGGCCGTCTTTCCATGGTGAGGATAGTGGGGGAGGACAGTGTTATTTACAGCTGACTCCTATTAGGTTAGAAAAGGTCCAGCAGCATGAAGGTAACTGTATCATTTTATCAACATCTGGTCCACACAAATGCCCCTGCTCACTAGTGTGTGTGCAACACTGTGCTTTAGTTCTTGAAGCATAGAGAGGCATATAAATTTAAAAAACACTTTGTAAATTTATAAGTGTTTTTGGCCCACAAATAGTACTGTACCACCAGTTCCCACATTTACAATTCAGTTAATAAGAACAATAATATTAGTATCAATATCCTTCATAGTTTGACAGTAAAAAATCAACATGCTGCAGCATTAGGAAATGTGTTTATCATCTATTTCCACTTACGAAGTCTCATCAAAACCTCCTCTGGTCCCAAGCCCACAAGGCCTCCAGTGTTGACAATTTAACAGACTTTTCTAATTTTAAAATATACACTTCTGTGTATCATGTGCTTGTCCATCTACAGCAAAGTCCATGCTGTTGTAAAATTCACTGTATATAAAGAAAGCCCCATGACAAACTATACAAAACTTAAAAAAGGGAAGACTGGTAGAAAGGGATTGTAGTATTGCAGATAGTTATGCGTCTCAGCTCTCTCCATCTCCTTCATCCTCTTCCTGTTTGATGACTGGGGTCCCTGGAAACAACAGAAAAAGAGATCTCCAATCATATCTTCAGAGAAGCAACTTTTTTATGTTTTCTCCTTTTCACTTCACAGACCTTCAAGTGCTTTTTGTAACATTCACGGGTCTGTAATTTAGTGATAGTCCTCCTTATTAGTTGTACAGGAGTTTCTTGCCAAGTTAGTGTCTCACTTATTAGTTTTCTGGGAAGAAATATGTAATTTGCATATTTCCTTGAAAGAAACAGCTCTGTTTAAACCAAAGTAAATATTTACTCATTATTATTTCCTGTTTTTTTTCCAACATACACTGGAATCTCAGGTTTTCTCATTGTTTTAAACCCAGTAGTGTTTTTACTGTGAAGTGATGACAATAGGACTATAGAATATCGGTAGTAGTTCTGACACACATTGCTGCTGAAACACTCTTACCATCTAATTTCTTCAGATTGGGTAGTCTTTTACAGGCTTCATCCATCCAGGTTCCCTCAGCTGAGTGCTTCTCCTCCAGAGGATTCCCAACAAACACCAGGTCTACGAGGCATGGCAGATCAGCTAGCCTCACAAACTCTCCTACTCAGCACAGACAACACATCATATTCCAAATTAAAAGTAAAATTAAAAGAGTGAAACATTTAGGATTGCAATACCAACAAAACACCAGCACATTAAAGGAATACGTCTCCCCAGAAATGAGCATCTTTATATCTGTTACTCACCTCGGTGAACAAGGAATCCAAAAAGTGGGAAAATTTTTGATGAACTGAAGTAAAGGGGGACTGTGTTTAACAAGTGCAAAACTATATCAGACCATCACTTTACAAGCTCTCACACTACTTTTGCAGCATATCAACATCTCATTTGTCCAGTCAAATGCTCAGTACTTCCCAAGCCCTTTTTGACAGGGAACTGAATGTAAAGTGAAACATACCTATGCTCTCTTCAGAGCCAGACTCCACTGACAAAAACACTCATTTTATCTCAGAGAACACAGGAGCTGCTGGTCTTCGCAGCTTTGATCAGTTAGGTTGTTTGGGTTATTGTGTTACTTTGGTGTTTTAAAGGGTTAGCTTCTATTCAGCAATGTCACACGATAAAACAAACAAACTACCAACAGAGGCTGTGATAGACCAGCAGCTCCTGTGTTCGGTGAGGTAAAATTACTGTTTTTGTCAATGGAGTCTGGCTTTGAAGAGAGAATAAATAAGTTTCACTTTAAGCTTAGTGCCCCGTTGTCTGTTTGGGAAGTCCTGAGCATACGACTGGATAAATAGGACTTTGATTATACTGCACACGTTATGTGAAAGTTTGTAAACAGATGTATTTATATTGTTTTACTGTTGTCAAACACGGACCCCTTTACTTCAATTAATCAAGAATTTTCTCAATTTTTGAAATCGTTGTTCATTGTGGTGGCATGCGAGAAAAAGAACGCTTTCTTCATGAATTCAATGCAACAAGGGGTGAGTAACTGATATGCATTTGTCATTTGGGGGGTGAAGTATTCCTTTAACTTTAAAAAACATGAATTGTTATTATTATTTTATTATCAATTAAGACCAGTGGCTTCAAGACATAATGTTCTGCCTAAAATTATAGATGCTACACTTCTTTGCCAGCGGTTCAGAGAAAAAAAATTATAAAATTTGGCAACCCTTTCTTTCTCATTTTCATAATACCCAAACATCAGCTCTCAATGTGCTTTAACTCAGCCGTTGACATAAGAATTTTAAAAAATAAAACCTGACTCTATGGATGTTGAGTGTTATAATTGTAATCGCCTCAGGATCATGTCTACTTTTGTTTGGTCTGCATACTAATGTATACTCTGTGGCGCTGTGGAATCTGTCTGCCCCACCCTGGCGTTTCTTTTTTTCTTGTTTTGTTTTGTTTGTTTTTTTTTCCTTTTTGAAACCCTAATAAAAATATTTTGAAATAAGTATTATGAATTATTAGAAAGACCTCTGCTTAAAAGTTCTAAATGTTTACCATATTTAAGCTTTTACCATTGTGTGACTAATTAAGAATTAATGACAATGTTCCTGCCCACCAGACATGAAGAGCTGATTTAAAAAACACTGCCGACATATTTATCCTCTTAAATAAAACAAAATATGCCAGGCACAAGGAGTTTTCATTTTTTGAAACAGGTCACTTAGCCTCATAAATGTTCATGGAACCACAAATAAACACAACATAGTAACTATGTTTATTTCAATTTCAGCATGTATTGATGAATGTAGCTTACCCCATTCTTTGACCAGGTTGTTGGACATATAGAGGACTCTCAGGTTCTTCATGGACTGAATTCCCTTCAGTTTCTCTATTAAGTTATAGGAGATCCACAACTCTTCTAATGTGTCCCCTACTGCCTCCTACAAACACATACACATGCAGATGATGCAAAATAATGTGCCTTCAAAGTATGTATTTAGCATGTGTAACGACTTCTGAAATTTCTCTAAGTTAGAAGGTTATAATGACTGTAGAGAAAGAAAGAAAAGAACTAAAAATAAAAAGGAAGGACAAAAGGAAGATAAAAAAAACATTAGTTAATGGTAATCCTGTTTAATATATGACTTACCAGCCCATTGAGGGCCTTTATATTATTCCTCCCTAATGACAAGATCCTCAAGTTCTCTGGAAGAACACAACACAACATCACATTACAACAGCACAGTTCTATCCGTGAACAGTGTGTGTTTGTGTGTGGTTTTGTATACTCACTCAGGCCATTGAGATTGGTTATTTTTTCAATGCAGTTTGTGGACAGAGACAGCTTCCTGTGAAGGACACAGAACAATAACATATGAGGTAAAACACTGGTGACAAAATAAAATGACTGCATTACCTGCTCAGTTAGCTAATCTTGACCGAACTGCAATTGAATAATCTGTTCATGCCCTGAGAAGCCAGTGACCTGTTTAGAGTTATCTCTCAACTGCGGTTTTATATATTTTTTGGAAACATCAATATATTTTAGCCATGAAAGTGTTAGCCAACAATTCATATACTTAACTGGTGTTTATAAGCAGCTATGCAAGTTAGAGGCAGTGTACTGAATGATAACTTCTCATTACATTGGACTGTTATCTGATTTGTATCAAGTTATTTTAGTTTACTTGGTTTCACTCATTAAAGCTGTAGTTGGGAACTTTTAGGAAAGTAACTTTAGGTCATATTTGCTATAACTGTCACTGCATCCACATAGTAGTACATGAGACGGATAGTCTTAAAAAAATTCCTCCTCCTGATTTTTGATAAAAGTATACTACAGCTTCAAATGTGTGGATTTATTCTGTTGATTATGCTGTTGCTGACTGCGTGAATTTCTGTTGAGTAAAAGTACCTATGTTTTATCATGTATATAGTCTATCGTTGAAACTAAAGAAAACATAATAAAGGGATATTTCTGGGGAATATACTCAGAGTTAGAAAACATAATGAAAGTGCAGTCGAAGGATAAACTGCACAGAGACCTTTCTACCAGCCTTAGCTCCATTGTTCACTTTTTTTTGTATCTCCTTTTAGAAGCAGGAAAACAGCCTCTTCTCCAGTGCTGAGAGGTTAGTGCTTTGTGTACTGCCTTATAAATGTTCTTAACAAACACTTTCACAAATTTGAACCAAATCCTAACAATTACAAAACAGTTTGCAACTATTTATTATGCATATTTGTACTTTTTGTATCCACAGGAGTTTCTTGCTAAGATATTGTTTCTTCTCAGGCTACACTTCCCTACTCCTTAACATAACTTGTTGGGGACTGTACTAAGGTTGTCAAAAGTAATGACACTTAGATACTTTTCAATAGCGCGTGTTAAAAACAATATGGTCTCTGTTAATTACACATTCAATAGTATCCAAAGTAATGAAGCATTAAAAGAAAATCTGCACTCAGATTTTCATCCCAAAGCTGCACAGATGAAACAAGGGGAAAGAAAATCAACTACTCCTCATGGCTGTTACGGTATTCCCTCGGGCAACGAAGACACCACATGACTGGAGGCATGTGTTTACTGACTTTATCTGTATAGCACTGTCTGCAGGTTGTTTATTAAAAAAAAAGAAAAAATGTCCTTCTTATTCTATTCTAATTCTAATTTTTATTTCTATCTTATTTTGTGTGGCTAAGATGTTTGTTTTCTTTTGCTGCTTTATTTCAAGAGACAGCTAGTTCCTGTTGAATTCTAAAATTCTGGTACTGTGACAACCCTAGACTGTATACAGCCTTGCAGGTACCTTTTCCTGCCATTTCAGGACAAAAAGTAGCTTCAAGGCTTCACTGCCATGGTGCATCTAAACAGGGACTTTAGCCACATATGCCAGTTGCTTATTTGAAATAATTGGCACGTACATTGATTAGTGATTTAAATAAAGTTTAATTGATATAATATTGTTTATAAAAGAGAAATAGCCTTATTAATATTTTACTAACATCAAAAAAGGTTATACCAGCCATCCATTTTTACAGAAGAATGAAGCTGTATTTTACCTCAAAAAAGAAGAGCAAAAGTGTACACAAGAGAAAAGATGACGGACATGACCAACACTCAGTTAATACTTTTAAAATTGACCAAATAATTCCAAACATTTTGCACCAAAATATAATGCAGTTCCAAATAGTTATCTGTAACAGCTAGCCTACCACCATACTGTACCTAGTGCATGTTGGAAGATTCCTACTGTAGATTTTGCTTAGGCTAAATTGCCCCAAGTTTGTAGCTTTACAAGATGGTGCTTCATAGCTTTACAGTGGATCAAAGAGCATGTGTAGAGTCTAATTAAGACACCCATGTGTCTGTTATAAAAAATATATTTATCAGTGGAAACACATGACCCTCTAAACAGGGCAGCTACTTGAGCCCAAAGACATCTAATAAATGAGCTAAAATAATCTCAAGTTTTAACATGCCTTCAAATAGATGCAGTTACATTAAAAAAGGCTTCTATGAGTTTATCTCACTCTTAGTGGGAATGGAAACTGCATAAAAAAGAAAGACAGGGGGAAAAAGATGAAAGAAAGAGATCCTTCAAAGAGCTAGTACCTAACTGTAGAACAAAATATATCAGCCTGATGAGCCTATGTATTCTCTGTTGGAATAAGCAATGGTATGGTTACAGGACTCACTCGCAGTTGGTGAGTGTAGAGAGAGAGGCATCCATCTTCTCTATGGGAGGAACCTGACCATACAGTTTTATGGCTTTAGTCTCGCTCACTTTCTCCCCTGACTTCTCCTCCTGTATATAGACACACACACACACACACACACACACACACACACACACAGATACAAAGACAATCCAGTAACTATGCTACAATCATGCAACTATACAATGACTTTCAATCACAAAGTCTACATACTTGAATGAACACAAACAAATCATTCTGTTACACAGGATTAAGTGGTATGGGACAGAGGAGAGGTGTGACTGGGGTGTGACTTTGTTTTGTTTTTTTGTCCCTCCCCGAAACTACATATTTTTTTCCTTGAGCCTCCCTGAGTGACTGGCAGAAAATACAAAACCCTCCATCATAAATTAGATTTTAAAATTGTACCCTTTGATTAAAAGTTAAAAGTTAAGGACAAAATCCTGGAGTTGAAAAAAGCCTTGTTTTTTTGTTGTTGTTTTTTTTTACTTTTGTCATGCATGCTGGTTAGTTATTGTAAATGGTTCATTTTGGGCCACATTTTAAATTAGACATAGAATAAAGTGGTTTTGATGATATGTCGGAAATTTGAAAATTTAATGAGAATGGTTGAAAAATTTGAAAATAATGTCTCTTTTTACAGTTTGCCGTGATACTTTTTTTTTTTAGAAAGGATGAAAAATCAATAAGATAAATACAAAATAGAACCATTGAAATGTGTATGCCCCTCTTCTTTGCCAAAATGAAAAATACACGTTCCTGCCTAGTGCTTGAAAACTGACATGCGTCACTTTTTTGCCCCCCCACCCCCACCCCCCACCCCTTCACAATTAAGGAACAGTCCCTATACTGCCGGTGGTTTTCAGCTGTGTGTGTATTCCACTCACCCATTTGGCCAGTGCTTCTTTCACAGTCGTTGCTTTGGCCTGGAGACATTACATGATAATCAATTAGACAGGAAGAGATTACATTGTGATGACAAAATAGCAGACCGGTACTGTAGACAAGCTATCAACAGTTCTACATGACAGGGAACATATTTCTTACTAAGCTGTAGGCACTGAATAGACATTGTCTTTATTTTAATTTTCATTTTGGGGTTTTGGCAGCTGGACAGTTCATTCTGAGAGAGCAGCCATTCGAACTAGTCCCAGAAACAAACATGCACACAGGGCAGAGTTGCTGTTAGCCAGCTCTTTAACGCGAGGTTAATTGGCATGTCGGGTTAGCGTTAGCTAACTAGCTAATTAAAGTTAGCCCACATTAGCCAGCAGCGACAACAATGTTGCATGTACGGTCAACTATTGGCTCTCAGACACGACTGCACTGCATGTTCGGAAAGGTTGTAACAGCTAGAGCCGTAAAATGTCGCTACAGAAACATGAAATAGTAACCAAAAACCGAAGCGAGGACAAACACTCACCATGTTGATGGTTGATGTCTGCTCTGGTTGCTATGGCACTGACAGACAGCCTACAAGCTGCGCCTGCGCATTGTACTGTGACTGGGCTTGACCTAGTTTAGAAAACAAAATTTCACTGCAGATGAGCAAGACATCAGCTGGATACTTGTGTCATTTCTGCTGTGGATAGTGGCTTTACCTGCTGTAAGAGATTCCTCACCTGGTATCACAATTTTAACTCATAAATGAGGTGGATTAAAGTTAGATGGCATCACACTTTTGATGAGAAGGGCTGAAAATGAAAAATGAACCCACTAATGTGGAGCCCCACCTAAGAGACTGGATGATATACAAGCTGACTTGGCACATGCGACAGAATATGGATGTTATGCAAGGAAAAGATGATGAAAAGGGCAAAAATATTAGGATGCCCCTTCAGATGCAAAAAGTAGTCCGGCTGTGCCTGTGTCTGCCTATGAAAACACACAGAAACATAATGTAGCTGTGGTTGTTCTGAGGTATTGTTATATTGTTTTACACTGCTGAGATCTGTGCCTCCTCACAACTTGCAGATCTTTTCCTGCGAACTTGTCAACTTTAAAGCAAAGGAAAGGTCTCTCAGATACTGACCTTGACCTTCTGTACCTGCAAACTGAATATGGCACCTAATTTACATCTTAACACAATGTAAACCAATGCTGATCCAGTTTTGCTGTACATAGAGGCAAGAATTTGGGGTGTGTATGCTTACTGCAGCTAATACTCTGTACAGCATTGCAATACCGCCCTCCAGTGATACAGCCTTGGTATTGCATCAAAATCTGTTCTCAGGCCTTGGTACTCCTTGACGTTAACCTTGAATCAACTCTGGAGATTCCATTCATTTTTTAACTGGTATTCCAATATCACCTTGATGAATGATGATGTGAATGTGACAATACTGTAATCAACTGTATAAAAAGTGTCTATACAGGACGCGTAGCCTAATGGTGGCAGTAATTTACGGTAATAATAATAAATTATTTAACTTAGACACAGATTTTTCTCTTAGTACCAGCATTTTAACACATTATGAGGAACAGGCACCAACAGTGCCAAATGTTCATGAATGGAGGAAGACATTTTATAACACATCAGAACTGTCTGAAATTAGGCAAGACAAGGTCAAATGTGGACAAGTTGTGAAGCTAGCTGCATCATAAACCATTCTCATGTGAACACCAGAGCAGTATAATGCAATACAAGACAACAATCCAAATAATAAATGGCATACTTGTAAAGCTTAGATGTTTCAGATTTGAGACTGTGTCAGGCAGGTGTTTATTCTGTGGTCATTTTTAACCTGATGTTTTCACTGTTGTGCTGGATTGCGTCATTTCATAAGGCGTACATATGTCTATGTTGAGGAACACTACACAACTGAATGAGATTAAGCTGTTCTGTTGCTGTCGTTAAACATCTGCTTAATTGTGGCTTTTGATAATAAGCATAATGCATCCCTGATAATCAGTGAAATCAATGATTCTTGAGTCTACCATGCTGTCTGAAAGTTGTTCCCAACTTTTCTTCCCCTTTGATAATATCAAAGAAGACACCTCCATTCACTGTTCTGACAGTTGTTTTTTGTTGATACCTTCCTAATACCACACACTATGTAGCTTACATACTTGTGACCAAATGTCATTCTGTGCTAAAGTCATTACATCCTGATGATAGCCTATTAAGAATGACCTTTTAAACTATAATGTAAATTCAACAGTAACCAGTATTCCAATAATGTACCATTTTGACAATGGCCTCCATTGAAGCAATAATTCTGGACTATTGTGTCCACAAATATCTTACATATTAGGAAATCAACTCTGATGATATTTTTTACCAAATACCTCAATACTGATATTGAGGGGCTATTGTGCCACCAAATCGACTTCAGAGAACTAGCAGCAACAAGGCCCCGTGCTGCTTTGCCTGTCTTTGCCAAAAAGTTGCACTTGAACACACCCCAAAGACTACAGCCGATGGCCAACCGGCATTCTGCACCTGTGCGAGAATAAACAAATCTCCACATCAGCAGATGGCGGTTGTCAGTCATCATCATTCAAAAAGGGAAATCAGAAGACCATCTTGACGCTAGTTAGCCAGTTAGCACACTGACACAATCCAGTGTTGAAAGTACAAAGTATATTTATGTGCTTCAGTGAACAACACAAACCATCAGGAAGTGTTTCTGCTGAAAAGCTCAAGCTTGCTTTGGTCTAACTCTCTATTGACTTTAGCTGTTTGGTTACTTTCTCACTTACGTTTCTCTTCTGCTGCACTAAGCTGAACTGCCAATCAGAGTGATTTCATTCACCGATGGGCTCCACTGTTGCTGAAAAAAAAGTCAATGGGAGCTGCCGAGGGGCAACGGTGTGGGACACAACACCGTTGGGACACACCACACCGTTTAGGGTAACAGCTGCTCACAGTCGGCCTAACATTCACCAGCGGCCTACCATCAGCTTGCTGTGTCAAGACCGTAAGTGGGCAAAGGCAAATAATAGAACAACTAAACTTTGAAACCAGGAAGACAACAGCTACGATAGTACAATATCCAAATCATAAGACGATATCTAGTCTAGTATCACAGTATTGATCTACTATCTACTATCTACTAGGCATGTTTTGTTACCAGTGTCCCCAATACTGTTACCAGAAATGCAACTGATTGCAAATGAGCTAGCTACTTGCTAGCTTGTGCAGTATGACTTTTCAGCTTCCAAAGGGGTCAAGACATAAAAGTCTGAGAACGAGTGGTCTAAAATATGAGTTTAATCTGAACATGTCACTGTGATCTGATATTTATATAGTAGCAGTAGTAGGGTAATATATTGACTGTAATGAACAGTTTAGGTTCCTATATGCTTATAATGCTGTCTCAAAACTTTCTTTCATCCGATGGCAAATTTGGTAAGGAAGCAATGATTCTTCTTCTTCCTCTTCTTATTCTTTTTCCTTCTTCTTCTTCTTGTTCTTCGTACTGGTATTAATATTATTATTATTATTATTATTACAAATTTGGGCATTAAAATCCACAACTCTGGCTAGCAAAATATGTCATCTTCCTTTGAAAGGAGAATTTTGAACCCCTGTCCTGTCACCCACTATACACATCCCTAACTGGCTGTCAGTGGAAGAAGTGAGCTCACCATGGCTGGTCTGTGCAGGCGGTGTACAGTGTCACAGACCAAAACACACAGCTCATAATACATCCACTGCAACTCTAGAGCTGATGCCTGTCTCAGACACATTGTTGTATGCAGTGTCAACATGTTTGGTGACGTACACGTCTAAACAAACTGACAGGAGAGATATTATCGCCATTGACTGGCAGTTATCTTGGTTGTGCAGTGTATGTCAGAATATTGACAATCATGTATTACCACCTAACGTTTGTTAGATTCTGGCTAGACCGGAGACATTCTGAAGTGTGTTTTCAAAACTGTGTTTGAGCTTTTTTTTTCACTCATTCCAATGAATGTATGCTGCAACTGAAGTGCACAGTGTCTGTGACAGCTGCTAAATAATCCCTTCCCCCCTTTCCCCATTTGAGCAGTGCTTTAATTAAATGACCAGGAAGTGGATTTAGATGGGGTCACCGAGGAGCTCTTAAGAACGTGACTTGAAACTGAAACCTCAGGCTTAGGTTTGCAGTACACACCAGTCATTTCCTGCTGTGACGATATTGTCCTATATATCCACAGTGCCAGATCAGATACCCTAAGTAGTGAATATTTTACAGGAGGCTTCATTTGGGATACATGTTTGGAAGACTGTTGGGCCAGTCCCATCAAGTCAAATTTTTATTTATTTAAACCAATATTACAAATTTGCATCAAGGGGCTGCACAATCTACAGTATGACACCCTTTTTAACGAGGTATAAATGAAAGAAGTCTCAGGAAGAGCAACAATAGAGGGATCCCTCTCTCAGGATGAACAAGTATGCAATAGATGTTGTGCTACAGAACAAATCAACATATGAAAATAACAGTGTGGACACTAACAATGACATAATACTTCAGGTGTCACTGAGGACACTGCTTGCGCTGGACAGCCTTGGTGGCAGGAGGTGAAGAAACACTGATGTGTTGGGCAGTTTGTGTATGCAGGTGCTGAGGATGCTCTTGATGGTGCAGTGATAGAAGTTCACCAAAATCTAAGTAGACAGATGGACTTTTTTTCAGTCTCTTTAGGGAGACAAAAAGCTGATGAGCCTTCTTAGTCTGATTTGAAGTGCTCAAGAGAGGTCCTGTGAAATATGGACATCCAGGAACATAAAGCTGGACATGCTCAACCTCCATCCTGTTGGTACAAATAGGAGTGTGTGTGTGCCATGTTTGGTCTTCCTTATGTCCACAATGAGTTCCTTGGACTTTTTTGCGTTGACAGACAGGTTATTGTTGGCACACCACTCTGCCAGGTTGTGAATGGGTCTAATAACCACCGACTTGCACCCGGGAGACTGTTGTTCATTCAGTCATTTATTCATTCATTTTCCATAACAGCGTATCCTCTTGGGGGTTGCAGGCATGCTGGAGCCTGTTCCAGCTGACATTGGTTGAGAGGCACGGTACATCTTGGCAACCTGCCAGACAGACAGACAACCATTCACACTCAAATTCACATCTACGGACAATTTAGAGTCACCAATTAACCTGCGTGTCTTTGGATTGTTGGAGGAAGCCAGAGTACCCAGAGAAAAAAACTTATTGGTGATCAGTTTGGAGAGGATGATAGTGTTGAATGCTGAGCTGAAGTCGATGAACAGTATTCTCAGATGTTGTTGTCCAGGTGGGAGAGTGGAGTGTTGTGCTGTCGAAGTTGTGTCCTCTGTGCTCCTGTTCTGGTGATAGGGGAATTGAAGGTGGTCCAGTATGTGTTGCAATCACGTTATGTGGTGAGCCGGGATCAGTCCCTTGAAACACCTTCATGGTAGTGGGAGTGAGTGCAACAGGGTGGAAGTCATTAAAGGCACGGGCACAATGGAGATGGTTTTAAGCAAGTGGGGACAGCTGCTT